CACCCTGTTCAGAAATATGAAGTTTTTGCGTCACCCCGATCCCAAATTAATCGCAGAAGTTGTATTATTATGTACCAGGAATATGGTACATAGCATGGCTCTGCATGTGCACCAAGGTGTATGCCGGCTCATTTTTGTGAAGGGGGGGGGGGGTAGGCTGGCATCTCTTGCCAGAATATGAGCCCTCCTGTTTCTAAATTTTGCGAGGCAACGAAGGAAGCCATCTTAAAAATTAAAAAAAAAACACTTTTATTACATTAAAAATGCCAGATCGTTATTAAAACGCGCTAAATATTGGAAATATGAAATAATAATTCGAGCACCTCACTGCACAAATGTATGTGTGCGGGTGTGTATATGGGAGTGTATTAAGATACCTCGCTGCCTGAAACCATCCTGTTTCTATATTTTGCAAGTAAACGAAGCGAACGAGGAAACTGAATGGACATTTTATTATCTTTTCTTTACAATTATTTATTCATTTAGTATGTTTTACTGAAATGTCATTTCTAAAATACTAGACTTTACACATTATCAACCAAAATCATAACGATATTCGGGCACCTCGCTGCCAGAAAATGAGATATACCTGAATATCGAAACTTTTAAAGGAAAATCTTACCTTAGTTGCAAAAACAAATCTAATAGAAAGCTGAAAAATTGGAAACTCACATCGGAAGAAAAATAATTCAGTAGTACTCTCGTCAGCTGTCTCAAGCCGAGACCCAACCTTTGTCTGGACCTTCCATGTGCAGGCAATATGGAAATTCTAATATATAGGTATGCAGAGCTCCCCTGACGGGGGTCGTACTTTTTAACTTCACGATCTCACAAGGAATAAAATACACTATCAAACAATCAAGTTATATAATTAATAACAATGATTTATTAAAGGTAATCAACACAAATCATCAAGGGTCGTGTACAGAATAATCATGTTTCCGGAGGGAAGAACGCCCTCAGACGGTAAATAATATATATAAAAATAGCAATGATCATAGTAAACGGAATCATCTCGAAGGAACATCCCGGAGGTATATCTCCGTCACGTTCAAAATTGAATACAACAAAATATAATCAAGCATCAAAAACAACAAAAGTCAATCATCAACAATCAAATTCAAGATATTCAACAATTAGGATCGTTAATTAGTTCAGCAAAGCGTTCAATGAAAAACAAACGATCAAACCGAATCAGCATTACCGTGGTCAGGCAATGACGATGCTGATGATGGCGACGAAACGATGATGACGAAGACGGCAATGATAACGAAGACATAGACGGCGATGATGACGACGAGGAAGAAGACGATGTCGATAGTCTTGTTGATGAGACGATCAATCGATGAATGCGATGATGGGCATGAAGGTGATGTCAATGATGTGGTGATGACGATGCTGACGATCATCGTGTCAACACAACACCATGGATCGTGATGGCAGTCGAAAAGATAATGAGTCAATGATGATGAGGTGAGGTGATGACGATGGCGTTCATCGTGTCAACACAACAAAATAGATAATGACGAGGTGGTGACGATGGCGTTCATCATGTCACTACAGCAAAGCAGATGATGGCGAGGTGGTGACGATGGCACTACAACGATAGTCGGTGGAAAAGACAAACCCAAGAATGTTCTAGTAAAAGTGATACAAGTCTCTCCACAAATGAAATATAAAAAGAGTTTAATGATGAACAAGTCACCCGGGAGAGGTCCGGGGACGAAGTCGTCGAGTCCATGTTGGACGAAAATTCGACCGGCACAGTAAACGAAAAACACAGTATGGACCTGTGAGTGCCGATAAAAATAATCCCTCTGATTTGCACATGGAAATATCAGAAAAAGCCCCAATCACTGGTGTAGCGCGATCGGTTTAAACAAGCGCACAGAATTAATATGCACGTATACGCGCTGTACATAACAATAACAAATCTGCATAACAATAGAATATATTAACAAGCCAGACAGAACCGGTTGGGACATGTCTGAAAAGCCAGACGATGGACTACGCAAGTGAAATTAATTCTCCCTAGCCGCCATCTTGGAAATAGTAAAGAATTCGTATTAAACTTGTACAAATCAATGCATAAACATTATTATACATATAAAAGTTTAAAATCGTGACATTTGGCACATTTGGTCACTACAGTGGTATGTGACAATACTGCATCTGGACATGTAGTTCCACCTGAATATCTTGGTCAACTTCCCTGGTGAAGCAGGGAGATATGTCTGGAATGAAAGTACTGTACTTCAGTCGGTTGTAACGGGTAAAGCGCTTTATAAGAAATAGTTAGTATTATTGTTGCTGGCAGTTATTCACCATTTACGATTTTCCAGCCTCTTCTCCAGGCTTTAGATGTCTGTATATAGCAGCAGATGTTCGGGGTAAGATATCAAAGAAGATGCTGCTCTTTGCCACATTTTCACAGAAGTGTCTGCACCTCAGATCATCTATGCCTTTACCCTTCTTGCCATTACAGATGGAATGAGGGCTTTCTCCTCTGCAGGCACGTAGCCAGAGTTTGATGTTGGGAGGGGGGGGGGGGCACATACATGTAATCGATCGAGGTAAACAAAAAGGGCTCTAAAAAAGTTCAACCTCCCCCCCCCCCCCCCCCCCCCCCCCCCCCCCCCCCCCCCCCCCCAATGTAGCTACGTGCCTGCTCTCCTGCATCGATGTCTTTCTCTGCTTCACACTTTTTCGAAGAAGTCGGGAAGTTCCTGGAAATCAACATTCTTCTGGACTACGGGTTTGGCTATTCCTACCACTCCGATGTGGCACTTTCAAGAAATTCATGTTAGGAAAGAAGCCGAGAATAGATCTGCATAATCACAGATGAAAACAGCGTTCATCACCTTGACTGATTGTACTGCTTTCATGACAATCACGGTATCTCAATCTCCTGTTGCATGAATTGTTGTACAGTCCACCTTCTCAAGGACAGAACTAAGCATATTGATCGAGAAACCTTCGTTTGAGATCGTTGTAGAGACACTTGTGTTTGTCCACTTTCAGCGAAGCTTTCTTGTGCACACAACCTTTTATTATTTGAAACTGCGAGTGTCCCAGGTCCATCTTCATAAACATTGAACATAATAGTTTTATTTCCATGCCGATTTACCACATACTTAAAATACATATCCTCTCAAAGTGTTGGCCCTAGTAGACTATAGTACACATTTCAAGAGGGTATCACAATCAAGCACACAGTGTATATCATTCCCTTTCGGCCTGTCTGACCCAGTTTGACCACATAAATATCATCACACAGAGAGGTCTTCGAGCCTCTCTTGATAACCCAGCATTGGCGAATACTGTGTGACGGCAATAAGACTCGTCTTTGGAAAAGTAGTTCAGGGTCTGCCAGAACGTGATCTCCGTCAAAGGTAACAGTTGTATTGCACCTGAATATGACTGGTTGATGTTTCCTTTGGCATGTTTGGAATGAAGAATTGTTCACCATTGATTCTTATGTTCTGCCCTATAGATTTTGCTTTGTCGACCTTCACTGCCGAATGGATCCCTTTGCTTGAATGTTTCAGTTAATAGGTGTCCCTACATGTCCCACTTTTATATTGACTCTGATGCCCCCCCCCCCCCCCCCCCCCCCCCCCCCCCCCCCCACTCCGGGGTCGGAATGACCTTATGCGTGTTACCAAAATGTCCGGTAAAGGGGTACTTTTCGTGCGACAAAGTCCGGCCCGAGAATTGTAAAAAAAAAGGGGTGTATTTGACTTTCCACCCGGAGATTTCTTTAAAAGGGGGTGTTTTTCTTTTTTACTCTCATCTCTTTGGACTCCTGAGAAATTATTCCGAATTTAGGGGGGTACATTGAGCATTTTTCCGTAGTTAGGGGGGTCTCCAAGGCAGTAAAAGCTAGCGAAAAGCCCGCGAAAGGGGGTTCGGAAATGTTGGCAGTCCTCAGATAGAGGGAACGAGCATACGCGTACCCTAAATAACACTGAGTTGGGGGGGGGGGGGAGGCGGGCTCTGATGTCTCTCTGACGTGCTCGCTGGTGATATAGTTCACATCAGTGATCCATTGCATAGCGAAGTTGACCTCTGTACAAATGGGATCCCCAATATCCAGGTCAGTCGCTGAACTTCTGTCATACCTTTGCCTCTGTTAAACCCACCACTAATTCTAATTGTCTTTACACTTTTCATGAGCACTTGCTCGGTCACGAGATACGTAGATAAACCTTCCCAGTTCTAATCACTTCTCCTAAGCTATTGAACAACTTGATCTCTCATGGCGGACACTCATTTGCATATAATGCAATCATGTTCACATATCAACATAAATAAGTCAACCATACTCATCGATCGCGAAGACTCTGTACTTATTATTACCCTAGCAATTGCCTTGTATTTCCACATGGGTGAAAATGACAAACTAATGTCTTGCCAAATAATGCAATTTCTAGTTATCAAATGAATCTGAAAATGTGTTTTATCATGTTAAATGACCCCGATAACATTGGTTTCAATACTTGAATTAAATTTGAATCGGCAAAGTGGATGCCACTTGATATCGCTATCGTGTTAGCATCGTGTTAGCATCGTGTTAGCTCTTTCTCTTTTTATATATATAATTTTTTTTGGTCTCTAAAGGAAATTGAAGAGGAATATAGGTTAACAGAATATTTTGGGAAAGAAATAATTTGAGATTTATAATCAAACTGGTCGAGAAAATAGTTTTTTTTTTTTTTGGGGGGGGGGGGTGAAAATATAATTTTGTTTATGTGAATATTTTTCATCTGTAAATGTGTAACTTTTGTATGTAAATGTAAAAGTTCATCGGCAAATTTATTAAGACCTGTGTTAAAATTATTTTGTTATTTTGTATACAATGTTATAAATAATGTACAATTTTTCTTTATTAGAGAAACGAATAAAAACCTATGAAAAAAAATGTAACGTGATCAGGTCATGGTTTTATCTCCTCCCACTTTCCATGCAGGCTTGTATTATATCAAAGTATGTGATCCAAACATGCAGCGGATGTCATATGTCGTACGTGTCGGTGTATCCCTCTGCAACCTATAGCTCACACTTACTAAGAGATTTCAACCGCGCCATACATATGAGCTCTCTACTTTGCATCTATTCAGCCATAATTAGAACTACAAAGACATTATTCTGCCTATAGGATCAATTCTGTGGAATATTGGAACTAACATTAACATATTTGCGAAGAATGTTTGGAGGTATTTCTACTCCGGTGTTGGTTGTTTGTCTCGCAGCCAGCGTGGCGAGATCGGCTCTGGTTCGGGGCAAGAGATCATGGGACCATCGTAAGATAATACATACATTTTTTGGAAAAAATCTTAAAGATCGTTCATCATATTGATATCAAACAACTGATAATGTGTTACAAAATAATATAAACAGTGACATAAAATATACATATTATCTATGTTAAAGGTACCAGTTCTGTCATGCGATTGCATTATGAAAGAAACGTTTTAATTAATTTTGATTAAACATCATCTGGTGAACTTTATTGCTGAATAGTATTTTTTACATTGTTATTTTTTAAATACCATATTGTTTGTTGATGAATATTTTATATTTGACATGTATAATTTTGGGAAATGGTTGTACTTTTTGCCACATTCTGCTTGTGAAATTCCCTTTTTGCATTTTCCAAACATCGATCCTTTATTGCTCAGGCAAATACAGCCTTATCAATGAGTTCATCATGATCTATATCCACTACTGTATAGGCTTATAAATTGTGGAAATTATACCCGATTCGGTTATTTCAATCAGATGTATTAATACATAGGAATTCTAGAACACCTGTAAAAAACTCGAATCTCATGTTATTTTTAACGCCAATATTACCAGCTTCTTTATTTTTATGCTAGATTACTTGACAGTTAATGCACATATCGTTTCTACAAAAACAGCATAATTTGTTTTCGTTTATTAAACCGCGATTAAAATAAAATGAATCCGATTAAAAAAATATATATATCAGGTTCAGTTCCCCCAAACTGGTCAGTACCCAGTTTATTTTGGATCAGTTGGTAAGATGTGTAAATAATGATATCTCGTTGATGCCAACAGTTGATATTACTCCGTATGGTCACTGCGGAAAGCCCAACAATCACATCTCACATGGAGGTATCAAGCTATTCCCTGTCACCGACATTGATGATCACCATGACAACTCCTGCAATGTACCGGACCCCTCCTGGCTCTTTTGTGAGCCCAAGTTCTACTGTGATGATGGGTACAAGATGAAAGGCGTCATAAATCTCTTGTGCGTGCACAATAATGTGACCGATGAATACAAGTGGGAGGGACAGATCCCAACCTGCGTTTGGAGCCAATCCGGCCATCGAGTCGTGATTTATGGTATGGAATATTATCAATCCCTCATATTTTTGATTTGTCAATTATCAATGATACTTTTCGTGGTCGAAATCAACCTATTTCCTCTTCACTCTTCATTTGTTTAATACATACATGTAAGAAATCTTCAAAGTCGGTGGGGGGGGGGGGGTCATTTTTGTTTTGTTTTGAGCCAGAAGTGATGTTTTTGTGTAAAATGATAATACCTCAGTCACACAGCCCAACCGACTCCAAATGGACTTTAAACCAACCGAGTGTTGGCCGTTGGAGGTTAATGTAATGTCTTGTTCGGTCTGCAGTCCGTCTGATGTCGGTCTCCTCGATGTGACTAAGGTAAGGGGATTAACACCCTTTTAGCTCCAAGCAGACTAATCATAATTATTGACCGTAATATGCGCCAACTTTTGTCAACAAATATATTTTCAAAAATAAACCATTAAATTGTTTTGATACATTCGTCGATGACTAAAACACGAAACGATTTGTTTTATTAAAGAAGTAGAAAAAATAACACATAAGTGCATTTTACGCAAACAAAAACGAATACAATGGGTACTATTTTTTCCCCGCTCGGGTAACAAAAGGCTCATTGAATAATTAATGGCAGATTAAAAATAACCTAACGTCGTACAGTCTAATTATTGTGAAATAGCAACATTAATTTTCGAAGACTAATAGAATAGTTCCAGTATGACTTTCAAATGGAATTTCGTTTCGCTCTTCTTTTCTCAAAACGTATTCTTAAATGAACAATGTAAAATTTAACTTTTGATACACTTTCAATTTTTTAAAACTTATTTTCAATTTTTTCTCTGACTATTAATGTGATGACATTATCTTGTTGTATTTTTTGGCGTGATATTATCATTCTTTTTTTAAAATTGTTAACGCAGTTTTAATCAAATTTTAATCCATCAGTGATAAAAAAAAAAAAAAAAGTATTATACAATTACAGAAATTTGATATTATGAAGAAAAAAATGTTAGCATGGCTTTTTTAACTGTTTAGATTGCCGCTTCATACCTATATGAAAGAACAATATTTGCACATGTGTTCATTATTTTGAAAACAACACAATAATGATAGCATTAATGTACAGAATGATCAAAAAGCGGTGAAAAACCGCTTTGCTCGTTACCAAAATATACAGACGTTTAGAACTGTTGATGTTTTTATGTCTATCAACTTTTAATTAGAAGAAGTTTGAACAAATGATTTTATGGGCCCACCAATATCTTTCACCGTGTTTCATTATACAATAATATTAATGGACGTTGCGTTGGCGTTTGACACTGGGAAACCATAACTCACTAATGGAGCTCTCACACTCTGCCGTGTAGGCCTACCGTCCACCTGCCGGGCTATTAAAAAAAAAACAGAGTCCAGAACGTTGGGTTTTGAGCGAACTTGTCCCCGGCCGCAAATTTTTTTAATAAAATAATCTTTTCGCTGTTTCGTTGCATCTTCTGACCGTTCTCACCGGGCGCATACCGGGTGTTGAACGTGCTTCTATCGTCTTCACCGCCCAGATTGACTTTTGTTGAAATTTTGGCCGTTTCCATACCGGGCCCATACCGGGTCTCGAACGTGTGCACCGGGTTTGTAGCAGCCACCTACCAGTCACTTAGCGTCCCCTCACCGCTCGGAGCGTCCTGTGAGCGAGTCCCCGGACTGCTGACGTCATGACACGACTGCCATAAATACCCCGATTTGAACGGCAACGGTCAGTCCGCTCTCCATTTTTCATCACCGTTATGTAACGGGTTATGAGCGTGTTGTGAACGTGTTCATACAGTGTGACCGTTTTCATAACGTATTCATACCGTCCTCATACCGTTCAACACCGTCCTCTTGCCGCTTACTTGCGGCCGGTGCCAGCCGGCCACAGTTTTGAACATGCCCAAAACTTTCGCCGGGTCCCACCGGGTGTAAATAAGCGCCAACGCCCTATTAACGTGTTGCCCGCTTTGATAACGAAACACCGTGTGCCCTCGCCGTTCTCCACCGTCCGCAGACATTTTCGCGCACGGTGGCACACGGTAGGCTACACGGCAGAGTGTGAGAGTCACTTAACAAAACAAACATGAGTCACATAAATCATCAAAGATAGGCCAACTATTAAACTGACTTTAATACATGGTGAAATCAGTCTGATGGATACAAATATAAACAAGAATTGTGATCGCATGTGCATGGATTCAAATTTATTTCCTGTCATCAATGTATCAAGTTTATGTATTGTTGTTGGAATGTTTCTCACCTGTGTCACCTCTAACATTTCTCTTGCAGTTGTGCCCGGGGTTGGACTACTTGTATCAGTTATCATCTTTGTAGTCTGCACCGCGCTCAGGCAAGTATCTCTCATTAAAGGGATAGTTCAACAATGTTAAATCTGAGATACACGGCCCTACGTATTACCAGTGTCTGTGATATGGTGTGATATTGAAGCCCTTCAAAAATTGCGGTTCAAAATGATCCAGAAGTGCCTCAAAAAAGTAAAAATCTTTGAGTGACCGGTTTTTACCATACTCGTTTTCCCCAATAGACTGTAATGTTATGAAAACCGTTTGGCAAATGGTTTTCAACATGTGTAATTCCAAACATAAATATCTTGATAATCAGACAGGCGATCGGCTTGTACAAGTCATGGGGTTCCTGACTGACCTTAAGGTTATAATTACCGTTGCATCATGAGCTAAATCCAGAATTTTGTTTCAGAATCTGAGACAAAGTTACCGGATCCAATTTAAAAATATTGTCTCTAGTTCAGTCATTGGTAATTGTATTATTTATCTAGTGCAGCACCGGCTACTGGTACGTAATGTAAACAAAACAAAATGTTGCATTCATATGATTCTTAACCTTTTTCTAATTTGCTCAATCCTATGTTTTTTCTCACTAACAATATCTTTATATTTTAGACAATAATGAATTAACACAACAAACAAGCAAACAAGGAAAGAAATGTTTATATGTATAGGCATATATATATATAATACATCATTATTCATGTACATCATTCTTCCTCATTCATCATAATATGATCACGTATTTGTGAGTATCAATTTTTGTTTCCATCAGTTGTTTAACTTACGAGATTTCTCAATCTATTGACTGAAATAATGAACGATTAATATCATTTTGGTTTCGACTTTTTTGTCTTTTCATTCCCAGATCATCATCGGGTTATGCTCGGTTTGGTCGCAGTGACATTTAAGTGCCCTGTGACGTCACTACTCCGAACACACATGCTAAATATGGTTCGTAAAGTGCTATCAATATACCAATACCAGTAAAAAAAAAAAAAAAAAAAAAAAAAAATCAATGACATTTTATTGTATTATAAGATGATGACGTGGATCGTAATCAAATGATTGGTTGAGAGCGTACACGTGAGTAGGCATTTATTTTGCCTAACACGTAATTTTGACAATGACCGGTCATTATCAAATGCTAATGACCGGGCATTTAGTAAAATTACCCACACTCGGTACCTTCAAAACAGTTGGACTGTTCTAAAGGTACCTTGTGTGGGTAATGTTTACTATTGCCATCACTGCTGTGTATTATTGTATACTTCCCAGGTCTTGAAGATATACACCAGTCTACTTAAGTGCTCTCGATAAAATGTAAAAAAGGACCGTCATCTGAATCATCCGAGAATCGGATATATATAAACTTTTACACTTCTCAGTGTACGGTATTATTAGACAGGTTATAAATTAAACTTTAATGTGAAATATGATTCAAGTTCACATTCATTACAACTTTTTAATTAGAGGTTACCGAAGCTGGGTATACTTTTGATACGCATTGTATAGAACTTTAAAGAACTATACATACACTGTATATATATATATATATATATATATATATATATATATATTATGTATCTGCCATAGGGCAACAGTAACATAATATACTAACTGCATCAGGAAAACCGTTGAGTATTATGGTTTGTTGGTTTGTTTTACCTGACTGCTAGAAATCATGTGTATGCTTATAAGTAAGCAACCAGGGGCGACGGCTTTAAGTCCTCTCCGATGGACTTGTTAATGAGGATTATACCAAAGGGCACTATATAGAGTTAATTTCGAACCCGGGACCTCCTGGTTACGAGACCACTGCTCTACTACGGAGCCATCGCACCTCCTTACATTGTCATCTTATTAGCTTTTCTCTGCTCTATATCAGATCGTATATATATATATATATATATTATATAGGAGTTGAGGTTACACTTATTGCAGTTTCACTAAACTTGCTTATATATATATATATATATATTATATATACTCCTTTCATTTTATTTGTGTACAAATTGTCAGGAATTTTGTCGACGTTGAATGGGTTAATTCACTCCACTTGGCGTGTTCAGAGTTTTTGTTAACTGACATGATATTATGTTACCTATCTCTTAATTCCCTCCCTCTCGTTCTGTGCATACCAACATTATGTGGAATTTATGTTCTCTTAGATTTTTAACCTCTGCCCTTCTTATGTCGATGTTTTTTTACAAACAGGTTCACAAGATGCGACCTCTCCACCTCCGCCCTACAACTTTACGGGAGCGGTGGCACCCCTGTGGCTTGGCCCGCCATCTACAGTTTAGAATAAGCCGAAATACAGAACCCAGTGAGAAGAATGCAAACATCTGATATAAATAATGCCGAAGAATACTTTAAAAATAGATTTCACTCAACTGTGACAAGTTTTACAATTTCTATCAATGACATGTGTAACTTCATACAATATAATGATCAACTGGGCATTATTTAGTTCTCTTTATAATTACTGATGACATATTGGGGATGCACAAAACGTTGTTTTTACTAGTTCATTCTGATTTGCATGAAGTTTGTATTTCTAAACAATGTCAATGAACTTACAAACAATTTGATGTAGAATTATTCATACCCTTACCAAGTTTTGTAATGTTCTAGGTATGTGAAGAAAACATTTATTTGTCCCGATTTAAAGCTTATATCTAAAATTATTTGACAATAAAGGTCAAAATTAAACCAATCCACCTTTCATTTTTTAGTTACGAAAAACACCCCCCCCCCCCAAAAAAAAAAAAAAAAAAAAAAATCAAATCAAATCAAAATCAAAATCAAAATCAATCAAATGTACAACGAGTGTGAATAATTTAGCTGTTTACTGTAGATAAGAATATCGATTTCGAATAATAGGATGTTTCCCCTTAATAATTTGAAGAAAGAAGTTGTAATGTCACGATGGTACATTACCATTGAACAGGTTGATATGAAATTGGTTTGTTGGTGTGTTTCAAGTTTTTTTTTCCGTATTATAGGTTTGGGGTTAGTTTAAGGATTACTGTTAACCTTAATATTTTATGAATTCAGCATCAAGGGATTTGATATGTACTATTTTACATGAAGATTATTGCTCTAAAGATAAAAGGGACATAAACTGTGAATTATGTCAGTTAATTCTTACTTCATCCAACTAGAATCATTGGTTGATTTAGATATAATTTACAAAGTGGTATATGTTTTTGTTTGTTTTATGTCACAGTTCTTTTGTCGTACTTATGTTGTAATATACAACTTTGAATTGGTATTTGACGTGTAAACAATATGTAGGTTGTAAAGGTTGTTGATTGCACACAATATATAGATATAATGACTGCTATTAGAGGGGTAGTTGTTTTTATAGGCTCAAGGGACGTTACATCTTGCTATCACCCCTAGGCGTGCCGAGGGGGTGATGGCAGGATGTAACATCCCCGAGAGCATAACTATAAAACTAAATATGCCTCGAATATTAAACATTCATATCTTCATATCTTTTATATACCGGATTGACAAAAAAATATCCAAAGAGGTGTGATAATAAATATTTTTCGATTATTACGACATTTTGTACTTTCTACTTCATACAACGAGTTGATCACATTCACATATTCAATAATAACAGAACCAAGGTCTCAAAAACAAGAGGGAGGGGGGAGGCCGGGAGAAAGTCGATTATAAATCTACATGATTTTTTGACTTATCAACCTCTCGGATTGAGATTTTTATAGATGAATTTTGATCCAAGAAACATTGACGCCTTAGATTTAACAAATAAAAATATGAACAAACATAGGGAGAGGGGAGGATAGAAGAGGATAGATTCAAGAAAAGAGATAGAGGGGGGAGACAGAGGGACAGGTAGAGAATAGAAGAGGGAGGGGCTACACAGAGGGAGACAGAGGAGAGGAGTTAAGGGGGACGAGTTAAAGAGCAATAGTGAGAAATAGAGAGAAGGAATCCAGGTGAAAAGGAGAAACGAAAGACGGTGAGAAAATGAAAGAGAATGAGAGGGGACAGGGAAGATAAAGGAGATAAGAGGGGGGGGGGGGGAGATAAAGAAAAGAAATGAGAAAGAAAGAGAATTAGTTTAAATGGAGGGGAGCAAAAAATGAGCCAGAAAACGGAGAAAGAGACGGTGAGAAACGGAGAAAGAGAAAACGAAAGAGAGAGAGAGAGACATGGAGTGAGAAATGAATGAATTGAGATGGGGGAAGAAATGAAGTGAGCGAGAAACGGAAAGAGACGATGAGAAAAATAGATAGAAGGGTAGATTGAGGGAATTACTAGAGAGAAGAGGGAATACAAAATAGAGGGAGGAGAGCAAAGGATGGTGAAACACAGATTAAAAGGGGAGGGGACAGAGAGAGGGGGAGAGAGAAAGAGAACAGTCCAGGAGAGAGGTACATGTTCGACAGACAGATGGTGTGTGAGAGAGGTGAAGAGAGTCAAAGAGAAAAGGGAGATTCGAGGTCGGTTAAGAGCTGAAGAGGGAGAGAGAGAGAGAGAGAGAGAGAGAGAGAGATTATTTTATAGAAGCTGGTTGCAAAAGGGCAATTTTT